ACACATTCATTTGGTTTTCATGTTGTATGGTAATGGTTTCATGAACAACAATATAATAGTGTCAGTTATTGTATGTTCACTCTTCTTATGTTAGCCTTAAATGTTATAATTGCCAACTTGGTAACAATTTACCAACTTAACATTGATGAATTAAGTTCAAAAGTTAGGACACATGGCAACCATCATTAATGCTTAATATTGTTTTACAGTAAATTAACATAAAAAATAAAACTAAATAGGAATTTATCTCCAATAGGTAGCTTTTTTCCCATTCTCTCCCATATGCATCCATTGAGAGTTCAGATTCTACCTCAACTCTCTTTATCCAATAAGTTGAGTCAATTGAATATAAGGGGTTGAATTTTATAATGGGGACATATGAGCATTCCTATTAGGAAATCAAGGTTCAATGGAGAATATGATTGTGCTTTGGTAGGATCTTATATATCATTCCAAGTTAATATTTATTATCTCAATGCTCTAAGTTTGAGATATTGCACATTGTTCAACACCTCAAACCAAATTAGACTTGAATGCTCTAATTACTAACTTAGTGAAAGTTTATCAAATTGGGTATTAAACGTTGGTTAAATTCATTAGTGATAACAACACCACTCACTTGACTTTCATGTTGTATAATGACAACTTAATGAATTAAAACAACATGATGGTTCTTACTACACTTGGTTACCCTTTAGACTTGCATATGTTAATTGTCATATTGGTGAACATTTATCAAGATAGAATTAATGGGCTAATTTCAAGTGTAAGGATACATGACAACCATCATAAGTGTTTCACTATCAATTTTTAATAGACCTAATGTAATAATTCCAATTATTGTGTACTCATTATTTTCATATTAATTTTACATCCCTAATTGCCATCCTAGGATTGATGGGTTGATTTCATGATTGAGAACATATAGCAACTTCCATAGATGTCCAATGTTGTTTCACATTTTTGTTGAATGCTCTAACTGCTAACCAAATAAACATTTATTAAGAAGGGATCAAGGTATTGGCTAAATTCATTACCAAGGCATTACCATTCTCATTTGGATTTCATGTTATAGCATTAATATTTGATTTATGCCAAGTAATAGGCATGGTTATTGTACACTAACCCATCCTTATATCAGCCTTAGATGTCTTAAATGTCATCCTAGTAAATGTTTACAGAGATAGCGCTAGGTTGTTGGTTAAATTGATAAGCAAGAACATAACACCTTTCATTGCCCTTTAGGATGCATAGTGATGATCACACAGACAAGGATTTAATATTGCTAAGTATCATGTGCTTAGCCTTCCCACACATTGGTGTTACTATCTTAGTTCACATTTACCAAAATAGGTATGAGTGAAAACACATTGTACTAATTTGGTGTTAGCCTATCTTAGTATGCATTTACCAATTTGGCATTGAATGGTACTCACCCATCTTAGTATGCATTTACCAAACCATTTAGATAGGGCCTCCAACTTGTTTATAAAAACAAGAAGTGGAGTTAAAATAGGAATGTTGCAATGAGAGAAATAGCACTTGGTCCGAAACTATTGTGACCTCAATTCACAAGAACATAGAGTGAGAGCAAGTGTGCATGCGCACTAGAGAGAGAAAGAGAGATTTTTGGTTTAGGAGTATAGTTGGAGGAACTGAGAATTTGAGAAAGGGAGAGATAACAAAAGAAAAAGAGGAAGTGGAGAGAGAGCGAGAGGGGTTCAAAAGGTGCCTTTTTGTTTTGTTTCTTAAAGAGGGTTATTTTAGTTATTGCATATTTAATGGTAACTTTGGCATTTAAAGGAGTTTATGTAAGTAGCTAACATGGATTGGCTTGCCACTTCATGGAATGACATACATGGTATGGCAATCTGTCCACATTTTTGAGAAATATGTTTATGTCTTTTTMAATTTTGTTACGGCTGAGTTGGAATTCAAAATTCTGAATTGGACCTATTTGTACTTTTTCCCAATAATTATGGATTAATCAACATTAAATTAACAATAAATTACTTATTTTATTGTTTAAGTAATTACCTAATTTACTACTAATTAACATTAATTTATTTATTATTATTTAATTACTTATTTTGTTAATTAATGGTAATTTACATAAGTTTATCTATTAACATTAATTAACTCTATTTACATAATTAATAGTAAAATAGTTAATTTAGTTTCTACAATTATTGATTTACTTTATTTCCACAATTATGAGTTTCAACGATAATTACTTAATGCTAATTAATTTACTAAATGTTTTAATACCTTAAACCTTAAATTTATTAGGTTTCTTAATAAAGCTTAGTTAGGTTGCTTAATTAATAGAATTACTTATCATTATCAGTACATTACTTATTTTACTATTAATTAAATTTAATTATGGATTAAGAGTAATTTATTAACTTTAATTATGGATGAATTAGCCTTAACTTAGTATTAATTATGCATTTATTATTTACTGCAAATTAATTTCCTTCCATGTTATTATTTGGTTTCTACTACATAAACTAAAAATAATGTTTGAGTTGGAATTAGTTTAGCTTTGCCTAATTGAAAATGTCATAAGGGTCCTTTAATTTGGATTTGTTTTAACACAGGGCCATGCAGGTGTGCATTGTACGCCCCCCCTCTAGTTGAAAAATAAATTAAAATATATTACTTATAATACACCTAACTCCGCCAATGTGAGCTTGTCTACATTGGTGGTTCCAATCCCAGATAAAGATAAAGGATAAGGGTTGCATTAGGTTATTGGCAACAACACTAAAACTTTAGCCATCTCATGAATATAACTACTAAATTTGTCTTTTCATGCTCAGGGACGTTCTCTAGAAATGACACACTACACCCAAATTTCAAGAAATTATTTAATTAGTTGGCTATAAATAAAGTAAATTATTTAAAATCAAAATTTCTCTTTATCCAAAAATATCTCTTTTGATTTTTCTTACTAAATGTACATGTTAGAATATCATATTCACTCACATATTCATCCATGGCATGTGACTATAGGACCCATTAATTTACATATTAAAAATACGTGTTATGATTTTTCTTTAATAAAAATAGATAAAGTAAAAAAATCACTATAATAAAAGATTGAACACAATTTTTAAATAATTTTGTCCACATTAAATTACTTACAAGCCATTTAGTTCCAAAAAAAATATTGTATATGATGAAAATTATTCATTTGAAAAATTTATGAATTAGTTTATATTGAAAAATATTATGTAAATTAAGAAAATTTTTATTTTATTTAAATATAAAAGGCTATAAATATGAAGTCCATCATTATGCAAACCCTATCCCAAATATATGGTGTTAATAATCCACATAACCCTCTTCTATTGAAGAAAATTATAATAATGAAACAAACTAAAATACAAAATTTTTGAAAATAAATTGCATATTGTATAAAAATGACAAATAAATTTAATTTGTATATATAATGTTGTATTAATATTATTTATATTGCTATAAAAAATAGGTGAAATTTCCCTTAAAAAGGGAAAACTTAATTTACCCTCACCTAACAAATGTTGTACAATTAGAAAGTGACGCAAAGAATTGATGCTAATACAAGTAAGGATGCAAGTCAAGTTGGCCTGAGTTAACAATTTACATTGTTTCGGGCTTAGGCTTTGGGTTGGGCCCATTGAAATTTTAACAAAATTTCAACCATAACCCGCAAAAGTTGCACCCCTAAATATAAGGGAAATGTGATAAAAAAAGGATTTTGAAGTTTTAATTTGTTATGACAATTCAAATAAAAATTTGTTAAGTGGGTTTTAATGATAATTTCCCTAAAAAATTATAATAAATATGTTTATAGATATCCATGCAAGAGGCTTAGGCCTCGCCTCTAGAACAACTAATAGCCTCACCTCTGCCTTTTGGTTGGTCTTTGGACTAGAACTTTGAAGTGGTTTATTTTTAAAAGCAATGCTAGTGTCATGGGCGACTGGTGGTTCTTGTAAAGACGTGACGCAAAAGTTGATTTTATTTTAAAGGGAAATTGTCAAAAGCTCACCATGAGTTTTCAACATTTTTCTTAAACTCACCACAATTTTTCAAAAAGTCTAAAACTCACCATGTCACTAACTTGATATTAAAGAGACTAACAGCTGTTAATATATTACCATTTTAACCTTCATAGAAAAATATAAAATATATACATATAATTTAATATTTAGACATGAAATAAGGAAAAAGTTCAAAAAATATTTTCAAATATAAAAACACAAAAAGTACAAAAAATATAAGAATTACAGAAATTGCACACAAAATAAAAAATTATTTTCAAATTATAGAAACTATAGAAATTGAAAAACAAAATCAGAAAATAAAAATTATAGAAAAAACACCAAAAATTATAAAAAAACACAAAAAGTGCAAATAAATAACAAAAAATATAGGAAATGTTATAGATGGTAGAAAAGGGAAAAATATAAAAAATAGAAGAAATATAAAAAACAGAAATTATAAAAAATATTGGAAATTATAACAAAACAGTAAAAAAGTAAAAAAAAATTGAAAAATGAAAAGACCATTTTCCTCTAATTCGCCATGGGTAATTTGGTCATAAAATTTGTTATTTGTGTTGATGTGGACATCTTTGATAAAAAATATTAGCGGTGCTCTAAACGAAAGGTGAATTTTAAAAAATACAAGCTTATTGACTTGATAAATTTTAGATGTTTTAAAAAGTTGTGATGAGTCTAAGAGACCCAGACAATTACGGTGAATTTTAGACAATTTCCCTATTTTAAATAATGGGACCCAGACAATCATTCCAGTGTTCAAAGGCATCAGTAACCGCAGCGGTGAGTGGTGCTAACCGCTACCCTTTCTCATGTTAATGTTTAAAGATATTTTGATAAGATCAAATGCTTAATACTCATCCGATCGGCTGATTTTTGGTGTACGACCATTTGATCGTCTCTGATCCTGCCACGTTGCATGTTCGGTCCCGCCCCAAGTTCCCAAGTCCCCAAGTCCAAAGATCGATCTCATTTCTTTCGTTCCGAAGTGATCTGCGGGTCTCTCTTTGCACTTTGCTCCTCTCTTTCTCTCTGTACTGTGGAACGACGAGTCTGAAGCCAGGTCTCTCTCTCCCCCTTGTATGCGTGTGAATTTGTTGCTGAGATTTGTTTTAGGATTTAGTAAGATCTATGGAAGAGAACTTTGCTTTGATTTCGGCGTTAATTTATGCTTATTTTTATTGGGTTCAGGCTCAGATCTGCAGATATCAAAATTGAATTCGTTTCTGCGTTGATTTACGCTCAGTGTGTTCAATAGTCAATATCTAGTAGGTTTTGCATCTGCAATTCGAACGCCATAAATAGCTTTTGATTTTACATGATGGGCGTTTGTATGTAAAGCTGTGATTTGTGTCGAGACGAGTTTATGTGGTAGAAATGGATTCAGAAGCTGCAGCTTCTATAAGAGAAAGCTCTGTACGTGAAGCACCATCACTATTTACTGCTTCTGGCATATCGTCATGGGCCAGAAGTCTCAGAAGCCCACAGCCCTCGGTTTCGGGGCAAGAAGAGTCACAGACTGGAACTGCCGGGAAGTCAACGTTTGCACGTTTTACCGGTGGATTGGGATTGCGGTTATCTCCGAAAGATCCTGTGTCTGATGAGAATGCTGAGGGCACTTCAACAGCTGCGCAGCCTGGTGTTTTTGGGTCAATCACCCAAGGGTTGGTTGATTCGTCGAGGAGCGCGGTTAAGGCTGTGCAGGTCAAGGCTCGACACATTGTGTCTCAGAATAAAAGAAGATACCAGGTAGCACACTTCTGTAATTTTCTTTATAATCACTGTAATTGTCTTTTTATTTTGTTTTCTTTCTATTCTAGTCAGAATACTAGCTTTTCTGAACTTAATTTTATATCTTGAAGTGCATTTCTGATCTAAGAGTTTATGGCAATTAAACCCAGAAAATGCTACATTGTATTGGTTTCTCAATACTCTTCCCCTTTCATCGGGTCTCAGATTGGATCCGTTTAATAAATGGAATAGAGATGTATCATTAGAATTACGGGTTTCTTGCACTGTACCTTAAATTTAATAGGTAATACCCTAGATTGACAGGTGCAAATCTTTTACTGCTAACATAAATTTCTTGTCCTTTTCTATATCTAATGTCTTTTTCTTTATTATCATGAAGTGCTGGTGCCCCTTTGTTGGGGAGGATTGAACATACCATTAAATGTGCCTGATCTTGCATTACTTTAGGAGCTCTGTAAAGAGCTTTAATGGAGGTTTTATGTTTATAAGATACTCTCATTACCTTTATCGCGGAGGATTGAGCACACCACTAAGTGCATCCCATCTGCATTACGTTAGGAACTCTAGAAAGAGTTTTACTGGAAGTTTATGTTTGCAAGATGAAGGTTGTAAGAAACACAAGACTGTGTGGTCTGAAAGAAATAGAAGACTGTTCCACCAGACCTCTAAGGATGTGGAGGAGTTTTATCTTTTGGAAAGCTGGTATCTTGGATTTCAGCTGCAGGGCTCAAACAGCAAAACCTTGTGTTGTTGCTGACTGCTGAGATCTAGGAGCCTGTGAGATGTTCTTGGGGGTCTGGTTGTACTCTTGTTTTTTTATTAGTAAAATTTGTCTCATCTCTTTTCAAAAAAAAAAAGAAAAAAAAAAGGAAAAAAAAAAGATGACCGTGGTAAGAGGTCCTAGTTTCAATCATCTATGGAGCTGATTACTATTGCAGTTATTTGTTTAAGCGGATCATTCAATGGTGTATCCTGATATTCTTGAAGTGTTATGAGTGGATAATTATAAGGGTTTCAAAATCTTACAAGAATCTGCTAGCCCCATCTCAAGATATTGCCTTCCTGGATTTTGTCAGTGATTTGTGTAATGATCATTATTTATATACCTGGTTTCAGGAAGGGGGGTTTGATTTGGATATGACTTATATCACTGAAAACATTATTGCCATGGGATTTCCTGCTGGCGATATGAGCTCTGGGTTTTTTGGATATGTTGAGGTAAGCAATTAAAATAGCTTTCTCTTGAATTTTAACTGGTTGAGTTTTACACCATCTTTATGAGATAATTTAAGAAATGTCATGCAGGGGTTCTACCGGAACCACATGGAAGAAGTAATCAAGTTTTTTGAGACTCACCACAAGGTAATGATACAACTACTTCTTATCTTAGGGTAAGGTTGAATTAGCTTGCCAACATGAATTTTATTAGTGTTACTGTATACTCTATTTTAAGCTCAAGATGCAGTTATCACATGTTGAATGAAGGTCAAATTATAAGTTGTTCCCCTGGTGGTCTAGTGTATAAGCAATCCTGTATATCAACTCCTAAGCCTTATATCTTATTTGTAATGTCAATAGATTTTTCTGTTAAGAGTATTGATTTCTATGATGTCTGTTGGTCTTGTTCTCTGTTCTTGTGTGTTTTGTTGATGTAGGGTATGCAAAGGAAACACTTTACTTCTTTAAAATCCATGGTTTAGCCTCTAGGAGAATCATACTGGGGAACCTTGTTATCTAGGCATATAAGTGATTCTAGGCTACAGTGGCCAGTGGGTATAAATTTTACAAAGAAAAAAAATCTAGGTTAATTTCCTAGTTTTATATACCAAACAACATGAATATAAATTGAAAACATGGCAATGCTCTTCAATTATAACATTGATTTTCTATCAATCTTTATATTTCAAACACAATATTAGCTATAATCTTTATACTAATTGAATCTTTAAGAGGAGAAAAGGGAAAAGAACAAGTTCTACTTCAATATGAGAGAAAGAAGTAGTTGTAAAAGAAAAAAAGAAACTTCTTGTCAAACCCTTAAGTAAAGCATGGTTTATATGTTGCATATGATAGGATGTGTCAATATACATAGTTACATACTAATATATCCCCAAATTGGTGTTCTCTCTGTAAGGTTGATGGGGAAACTGGCTACCACCTTATGGTTACTTGCTTGTTTGCTAAATCTATTTGTGAGTGGGCTTTATCCCTTTTTGGGTGTAATTGGACTCCTCCCTTGATTGTGCAAACTCTATTCTCTTCGTCCTTCTTCAGTTGGCCTAAGAAAAGAGGGAGGATTATGTGGAGATGCATTAGGGTAGTAGTTTGTTGGTCCTTATAGGAAGAAAAGAATTCTCGTATATTTTCAGACAAGGAGAGAACAGCAGAGAACTTAACAGATCTGATACACCTAAGGGTGATTAACCAGCTGAAATCATTGGACCTTTTTACAGACTTTTCCATGACTGACTTGCTGAGAAATTGGAAAGAGATAGCAAACTCTGCTCCAGTTAAGAGAATTTCCAGCCCCACTTGGACTTCCCCACCCTCTGGATTTATAAAACTGAACTTTGATGGGAGTAGTATTGGAAATCCAGGACCGTCTGGGATCGGGGGTGTCTTCAGGAATGTGGAAGGGTCTATTCTGGCCTTGTATTCAGGGCCAATTGGAGAAGGGGACTCTCTTAGGGCTGAGATCTCTGCGGTTTTGGAAGGGATCCAAAGAGCAAGACAATTGAACATAAGAAGATTGGTCATTGAAGGTGATTCAGAGGTGGTGGTTAGATGGCTAAAGGAAAACAACAGTACCATGTGGAGCTACAGTAATGAAAGGAAAAAGTTCAAATGGTTCGCTAGGGACATTGAGGTGAAGTACAGCTGGGTGAAAAGAAATGCCAACTCTTTTGCTGATGGGTTAGCTAAGCAAGGGGTGAATAGGGTGTCTTTGTTTTGGGCTAATTTCTAATATTATCTCTTTGTGTAATTTGTTGATGGGGAGTTAAGTCATTTTACCTCCCCTGTATTTTGTGATTGCTTCYTTCTAATTTAATAAAGCTGATTGTTATTGATCAAAAAAAGAAAGATGTGACCATGGTAATAATATTAAAATAAGGCACTCACCTTGTCATTTTTGTTGCCTAGGCAGGCACCTAGTTACCTAGATGGGATTTTTAATACAAGTCATTGGAGTTCAAGCTGGTCTCCCCACCAAGAGCACTTTGTCACCTACGCAACCCCTTGAAAACAATGCTGGGGAATAAGCTAAGACCAACTTGGGTCATGGAAGAACCAATATGTGATCTAAGTTTGTGAAGTTAGTACAGTAATAGGCTAAATGAAACTGAATATGTTCTCCTAAGACTACTTAAGAGATTTAGTGGCTGAAGTTGTGGGCAGATTTGAAGCTTTGAAGTCCTTGTTGAACAACTCATTGAAATGGATGTCTAGTTTTTTTTTTTGCTAACTTTTGGTTAATTATTTGGCCAAAACTGGTGGCTGAAGAGGTCACCCAGGGCCTTTAAGTATATGGGGAGTATTCAGAGATGGAGATGGGAGAATTATTGCTATGTTCTCTGGGCCGTTAGGGGTGGGAGACTCATTGCGAGCAGAAGTGATGGCTCTGCTTCAAGGTGTAAAATATGCCAAGCAATTGGGATTACACCAAGTGGAGATTCTAAATTGTTAATGGACTGGCTGCAATCAGGCAAGTTGGGAGCATGGATGTATTGACAACCCATACGGGAAATTCTCAATATAACAAGGGAGCTTGATGCAGGCTTCAAGTGGAAAAGAAGATCAGCTAATGGTCTGACTGATACCTTAGCCAAACAAGGGACAGTGAGGGAAAACTTGTTCTGGGCAATTCTGTAATTCAAATTACTTGGGCCCAACTCCTATCTTAGGGGTTGACAATTGTAACTTAATTTTCAGTAATGAAGTTACCGTTTCCAATTCAAAAAAAAAAAAAAAAACTGGTGGCCAAAGAGAGTTGTAATGGTGTGCAGTAGTCCTGGTTTAGCTTCGGTGGTTCATTTTGTATTGCATTGTTCCTTTATTTTCTTTTGGCTTTTGTATTCTCTGTAAGGTTTTGTTTACTCCTTTTAAGCCTTAATTATTTTTATTGATTAAAAAACTAAGGCTGCGTTTGGTAAAAGTGCAAATACTGAACCAAAGCAAATTTCTAATCTGGTTTAGTTTTGCAGGTGTTTGGTAGAATTTGATTTTGTACTGGAAACGAAAGTAAACATTTTTTGCATTAAAACGGGAGCAAAATTTGCTTTATTTTTGAAAGCAAACTTTTGCACTCAAAGTTGGTCAATGTAAAAAAGGTAGATTGCAGTCTTGAAATTCGTGTTTATACACATCACAGCCAAATACATTTGGTGAGAATAGAATTATCAATGCAAAACCAGATAAAGTTTGCACTTTCATGAAACCAACATATTTGCATTTTCACTGTTACCAAATGCAGCATAATAAGTAACAGTTGCAAGTAAATTTCAGCAGGGTTTTTGGTAGATGTTGAATTAAAGGGATTCATAGAATGTGGTTTAAGTGCTGATTTTAAGATGGGGAGATAGTTGTAGTAAGAGTTTGGTTTGGCAATGCAAACCGTAGGAGATTAAGGACTGGATGGTTGGGCTATGATTGGATTATAAGCATTACAAATTAAGATTTAAGAGGGTATTGTAATGGACAAAGCTTGGAGTTAACGAAAGTCATGCTTAGGACTAAGGGCTGGATGGTTGGGCTATGATTGGGTTACAAGGATTACAAATTAAGATTTGAGAGGGTATTGTAATGGACAAAACTTGGAGTTAATGAAGGGCATGCTTAAGACTGTAGCTGCAAGGAGAGTCACTAGGAAGTGGGAAATTGTCACTGCAAGGAGAGTCACTGCAAGGAGAGTTAATGTAGGAGAAAAAAACAAAAAATGCGGTCTCCATTGCTTCAAGATATAACTACAAAGAGCTTAAAAAGATTAACTAGTGAAGTGGGAAATTGTCACTAGGAGGTGAGAGGACGAAGGCTTAGGCATTAGTAATATTAGATTGAGAAACCTAACCTTGTTAGGAAAGTGGTTATGGAGATTTCCCTTAGAGCAGGATAGCTTGTGGGCCTTGTGGCATTAGGTGGTAGTAAAGCATTCATGGTATGGAAACAAATGGATGGGATGCTGGCCTTGACCCTGGGGCCTCTTGTTTATCCCCCAGAAAGCAATTGTTGGAGTCCTACCTTCTTTTCAACCATTCATAAGGTATTATGCTTGCTTAGGTAACAAAATTTTGTTTTGGGAGGACACTTGGGTTGGAAACGCTCCTCTTAAGGACAGGTTCCCGGTTATGTATTCTCTTTCTTTAAACAAATTGAGGGTCATTTCCTTTGTGTGGATGAGGGTTCGTAGGACTTGGGACTAAGGAGAGGGTTGAGGGACTCAGAAGTGGCCTTTGCAGATGAGCTATTGTTGGGTGCTGTTTTTCTGGACCAGGCTTGCCCAAATAATAGAATTTGGTCAAAGTTCTCCTCAGGGATATTTTCTTGGTCTTCATTTTTCAATGTTTTACTTAGTTTTGTTGTTGTGCCTACCCCTTTCCACGCAAAACAAGTATGGGTACTTCTGTTCCACCAAAGGTTATGGTTTTTTGCTAGGAAGTGGTTCTCCAAAAGGTCAATACTTTGGACGTACTTCAAAGAAAAAGGAAAGATTAGTGCCTTTCCGCACATGTTTGTTGCCTTTGCTTAAGGAGTGGTGAGACAGTGGCTCATCTATTTATTTCCTATCCTTTTACTTCTTGTATTTGGGATCGGTTCTCCTTTCTCTTTGGTTGCAAGTGGATGACTCCTTCGTGTGTCAACTCTAGCCTTTTCCAGTTAGCAAAGAAGAGAGGCAAGGCAACATGGAAAACAACAAGAACAACTATCATATGATCATGGTTTCAAATGTCTTGACATTTCGCTAATGTCACCCGACATATGTT